GCAAACTGCGACAGCAACTGCTGCAGCTTGGAGATGCCGTGTTCTGCAACATCCCGCATTTCTGGATTGGTGGTATCTGCAAGCTGCCGAGCTACAAGACACATAGTGCCAAACTTCTGCAGCGCCTTGCCTTTAAAGTAGTAGCTTCCTTCATGGGGCAGCGACCAATCTCCATAAATTTCATCGGAGACAACACGACACAAGTTCAGTCTGTCAACCACATCACGTGTGAGGCAACCAGCACGAGGCGGGTAGAACGCAGTGCACGCCTCCACTCCCTGGCTCTCAGCTTGAGGCACGCGGCAAAGCCACGTTGGATTGGACCTCGGCGGAGTCGTCAACAGGTAGGCGAACAGCGGTCCGTGCGTGTGCGAATACAGCACCAGCTCGTCCTTGGCTTCGACACTGGACAGATCCAGCATATCTTGCAGGTGTGTGAGTGCGAAGTGCAGGAAACGAGCTCCTGGGTTGCTGCCTGCAGCGCTTGCGAGCTGCCAATTGAACACAAACGAATCGGAGTCAAACGTCTGAATAGTGGCTCCCCTCAGGTAGACGCCAGCACTGGCATGGTAGAGTTGAAGGATCTTATGGTCGTCCTGAGGCACGGAAGACTGCACTGCACTCGTCGACACAAAAGCCGCTTGGACAACCCCTGTGAACTTGGAAGTCGTTGCGAGCTTGTTGCCCTCAAACACCAGTGAGGTGTTCCCACCAGCATTGGAGAAGAAGTAGAGCACCCATTGCTGTCCATTATTGAGCGAGATGACGAAGCTGATGCCATTCACTTGGTGACCTTCTCTCGCTGGAGCTCCGTTGATAGCCACAATGGAGTGCTCTGAACCGAGTTGCACCTGCATGTCCTGGTACTCGACCGTCGTGAAGGCCGAACCTAAGGCAAGGTACATCCTCATCCCCGCCATTGACAAGTGCACACCCATGTCATCCCAAGCTTGAATGGTAAGAGGTGGAGCACCCGATTGTTCTGCCAACTCTACAGCCGAGAAGATCCAGTTCTTGATGGTCGGCGGGTAGAAGTAGAAGCGAGGAGCTCCGTTGTCGTTAATAGGCCCGTCCGACCGATACTGCACCAAGTAGCTGACGGAGAGGCCACTGCCAATGGTACCGGGTTGGCTCTGCACCACCTTGTAAGTGTAAGGACCGGCAAACACAGCATCGCTGTCCCGCTGCCCGTCCCATGCTAGCAAGTTACCCCACCATTCGTTGGTCGGAACCGGTCTCAATAGAGCATCTGGGGACAGGAATTGGGGCGAAATGAGCTTCTGCAAGCCCCCTGTTGATCGAAAAACTGGCGGTGGGGGTGCAGCTGATGTTGATGGAGCACTAGGCGGTGCAGGGGGAAATAGTGAATACGACATGGCGGGATCTAAAGGATACTTCGGAGCCTCGGGAGGTACGTGGCAGAAATGATAATGGCTGAAGGATATCCGAGTTTGAAGAAGACAAGCATCCGGATACAGAATGACTGGCTTTTAGTAATGCTCCTCCGGATAATCGACGTGCTTGCGTGCGTGGGTTAAATCCAGGCAGAAGATATGGGGACAATTGTTTGAATTTGTCGCTTCCCAGCCGTATTGGGGGATTTCTATCTGCAGTTGCTGTCATCAGGAGCCGTTGGTGAGCGTGCAGTTCCACCCGACGGACGGCTCACTGCTGGTCACGGCCGGATACGACGGCTTGGTGCGTGTATGGTTGAATATCATCACATTATCGTCAAAATGGAACCGAAGTTGTATTTAATATTTCTCGAATTTAGCGATTGTGATTGGCTCCCGTCACAGTACCGACAAGAAATCTTGCCGATACTGCGACGTTAGCAGCCGTATTCTCTGCAACTACCGTTGCATCCACAGTTTGATTTGGGCTTAGGTAATGTAACCCAAGCCAATAACGAAACTCACATGTTTTGGTTTCGGTTGCACGCGACTTTTCGTACTGAGTTTATTTACCATAACA